CCCAGGTTCTGCTAGTCTGTTCGATCTGTTCTCTCAGTAAGGTTGTTCGATCTGCTCTCTTTAATCAGTATTCCCGCTCTGATACCATCTTGACAGTAAGGCCGGCCAGAAATAAGAGGAAGAGAAGAGAAGAGAAGAGGAGAAGAAGAAAAGAGAAGAAAGGAGGGAAGAAAGAAGGGTTTTGCAATGTAACAGTGCTGGCGGCGACAGCCTTTATTTTAATATATATAGGGCGGCAGAAATAACAAGGGAAAAGACCCTTGTGCCCCTGAGTACAATAACAGACATAACAAAAATAAAAAACGAAATAAAAAAACACTTTAATTAGCCAAACAGGCCCTAACATCAGCAACTAAATTATTTCTTCCTCTTCTAATTACATACCTTTTCTAGCCTAATGCCATCCAGAATTTTTTGCATTAAACATCTATTACATCATTTTAATTCTCAGTTTACAAATCTGAAATGCCTCCATTGTCTCTACAACCATATATACCCTCTCTATGAATCCATTATCAGACCTTAAATTTTCTCACTCATAAATCAGCCTCTTCAACCCACCCATCCAACATCAATCCCTTTTCCATCAAGGAGCTTGTGGAGAGTTTGGAACACATTGAACCAAAGCAGATGGCCAGATTCGAAGTATGGCCAGATTCGAAGGAAAGAAACAGCCATATCTTCAATAAATCCCAATCAAGAGGATGCAATTTGATAAGAATCATTGAACCAATGTACACTTGGATCTTGATAAAAAGGACATATATTGTGTGATCATGTGTTTTGACTTTTAAGCTACATTCTTCTTGTTTTGTATTTTTATGGTGAGTCAATTGAAATCTTTATCTGTAGTAACTTGTTGTACAGGACTATATGGATCATACTTGAACACATTGAACTTTATTCCAATGATTAATAAAATAGACTGCTGTACCTTACTGAAAAGGAGAATGCCTTTCACACAGGAAAAAAAGCTTTAAATGAAAACAGAATAAATGAGAAAATCATTCAAACGTTGACATCATAATAGAAGCAATAAGGATAATAACATAGAGAGTTAAGAACAATGTCTGTTGGAGCATCAACCTAAATGTCAATGAAATTGCTTACTTGCTGATTTGGACTACATCAAGGGAATACATGCCGGTTGATGGGTTATATTGGCGTTGCTTCACATATCCAGAATCAATAACATACCTATCATATTTGAAAAAGCAAAATTAATAACTTGGATTGAGCATGATCAACAGGTGAAATTTTTTTGGAAGGTCATAGGTCAAATATTAAGGCATAAAAAAACTAGAAAAGTATCTAACTTAACAGGAAATTAGATGGTGAACAAAGCAGATGGCACTCCGTACTTGTATATAATAAACTTTTCTTTTGAAGAGGAAAAAGGTTTCAAAGGACTCTAAATTCATTAGAACAAGAACTTGTTTCATTCCAATATGTTACATCATCATTGAATTGCACAGGCTTCATTTATAACACGGGAAAAAGGTTTGAAAGGATATGACATGTCAAAAGAAATAAGCAGTATTAGTCCAAAATATGCCACATTGGCATTATTGTGAAAACTCCTCCTTTGGGTAAGAGAATACTTGAGTAAAATGAGAAGAGGAAAAGAAGCTAGAAATGCCACTTTACATATTAGAATTGTTGTTTGATACCCATCTACCACTTTGACCCACAAATCACCATTGTCAGGGACAGTTATGTGAATATGCTTACAATTTTTGGATGTAACCATGAGGAAATTTTGTTATAAGAAAATTTTATTTATACCATTAGAACAAAAACAAGACACAACAGAAAATCAGAACGCTGGGAGGAAATTTTTTATAAGTAACAAACAATAATCAACAAGAACACACAACAGAAAAATTACATCAGCAGCCAATTCACTAATTGCAACACAGAATATCCCCATGAACATCAGAACATCACCATGAACATTGACTAAGACCACATTGAAACACCATGAACAATAGAGTTCTAAAGTTGTAGAGAAGTTGGAACATTGATGTGAACATCAGAATGACATGAAAATCAAAATCGACTAAGAGTTGCAGAGAGGGAGGGAAAACGGGAGAGAAGAGATAGAAGGAAGATTATCGAAAGTGACAAAAGAGTTTGGATTATCAATAAATGAGATGTTCGCACTTTGCAGACTTTTGCAGTAACTTTTTTGATACCCATGGGGCACTTGTAACTAATATTATATATGTGTGTTGTTTAATTAATATATGTTATATTAATTAATATATATTATATTTATATCCTAATCAAATTTGAATATTTATAGAATTGAATCAGCATACATTCAAATTTGACCATTAAATTAATTGGATTATCCAAATTCGATTCAGTTATATCGGATCTCGAAGTCGAAATCGGATAACCAAATTCCATTTACACCCCTACTTATGGTGAGTGTGGATTGAAAATGTGGTAAAATCATAGTTTGAAAATTTTCTAGAAAAATTCAAATAACCTTACAACCTACAATACAATACACAAATTAATTCAATTCAACTCTATGATTTATTATTATTTTATAGTCTCTCTGCATTTTATTACATGACTACAATTTCTACAAAATTGCTCAAAAGAAGGTGAATCAGAAACATTTTTTATGAGAAGAAACCATATAAACTAACTTGTAATTAAGTAGAAGAAAAAGAAGAACGAATCCTCACACAACACCATCCACAGTCAAGGAAGTCTCTGCAATGTTTGTGGCAACAATAAAACGCCTACAATTTGGAGGTGCTGGAGAGAATACACGTACCTAGGACCAAAATAAACAAAGCACAATCAACATAAAAAATAATTATGAAACCTAATAGCTTCTAAGGTCATTACAGTGGCATATTATTGTGTTAAAATCAAAACTCCAAGTTGGTTGTACAGAAATAACTGGGTTTTATCCAGACAAATCAATATAATGAAGAAAAAAAAAGAAGGGACCCAGAAAAGAGAAACCACTTTGTCCAAAAAATGCCAATGGATAGGTCCATATCAAGTCCACCTCCCAAGACCCCAGATGGTTGGGACCAACATTGGGTAATAACCTCTTTTTATGTAGTGCTTTCTGTACCCAATTCATAACCTGATAATATATTTTGAACCAAGACTGAAGCAATAAGCAGAAATTCACTTGACCAATTGCAGTAGATGACAAATGCCATTTCAGAAATAAAACCAAAGAAAGCAAATGAAGAAAGAAATGGAACTTCGTCATATATATATATATATATATATATATATATTGATTTGTAGTCAAAGAAGTTTAATTACAAACAAAAAAGATAAAACCCCAATTACACAAAGAGACTAAGGCTGCTCTCCCAAAATATTAGAAAATTCAAAGAGAACAATAATAAACACTCAAGACTTCATAGAACCTGTTGGACTCTTTTAGCACTAACACCTAAACAGCAAAAAAAAAATACTAAAATCCACAATCCTGAGAACCGTTCTGGTTAATAACCAGTAACTTCATATTTCTTTTCTTCCAGATACAGTTAGGAACAAAGATCAAGCTCGAAACCCAATCCCAGCTCGGCTGGTCATGACCAACCATCTCTTTTGTGACCAATGCTAATAGCCTCTTCACTCAACCCCCCCCCCCCCCCCCCCCCCCGTCTTTCAATTAGTGTTATGCATCTTCGTTCTTCTTAATATAATACATCTTTCATAAAAATAAAGAAACAAAAATAAAAAATTAAAAAAAAAGATGAGATCCTCCTTCCTCTTCTCATGTCCCAATCCACATCAGTGCTATTGATGCGTGCACGGAAGCAAGGAAAGAACCATAATAGAGAGAAATCAATTTTCTCCCAAGTCCCAATTCCTCATCCAATGAAATTTCATAGTTTTTGGTGTTTTTGATTTTGGTATCTTTGAGTCTTCAAATTTGTTTTCTAGTTTATTGGTAACCATCTAGAAATTTATTGTTGCTGATAAATCAAAATTACTATTTACAGTAATTGTCAAACATGCTATTTCTAATAATTCTCTAATTATTATTCATAGGAAATTTGTGATTTACTATTTTAAGTAATGTCTGCTGTCTTTACAATATAAGCTAGTTTTAGTAGGATTAATAATGGGTATTCAGACTCGTTTAGGAGTTAGAGTCCTTATTTGAGTGTCCCTATAGGTTACTGATGTAATCTTGGTTATGTGCCACAAGGGCACTTTTGTCTTTTCATCTTTCTCTATTATTGTATGGTCACCCTAACATATAAATAGGACTGGCACCGCCAGCCAAGTTTATTTTTTTCTTTGGACTCCAATCTTCTCTTCTCCTTCCTTCACCGTTCTTTTCTGATCGAAATCATGGTATCAGAGAGGGACAGTGCTCTGTAAAAGTATTCTTATCTGATTGAAACTATTCCAATCACATATCTGGACTGTGAATGAAGAAGACAAGTTCGACCTTGCCCTGAGAACTGTTCAGTTGATCCTGTTCCATTATCTTTAAACAGAAACTTGGAAAAAACACTTTCAGAGAGCAGCAGATGATTGATTGAGGTCTTCTTAGAGGTCGGTGGTTGTTTTTCTTCTTCTCTTCCATTCTTCTCTGGACTGTAACTTCCAGAAGTCAGTCGAACTGATCAGAAACATAGACTGAAGTGTTCTTATTATTGGTTCTTGGTACTGTCACCAAGAACATACTAAAATCTGCCTTAGCTGAATGGTGTAAGCCTGTTGAGTTGCTTCCTGTGGGTCGGTGATCCAAATCTATGTGGGTGAAGAACCTGTGTAGGTCATGTGTGACCTGGTTTAGATGGAAAGGTACAACAGAATAGCTGTAGATGTTATGTGTGGCTTAAACTAGCCTTGTGAGGTCGGTTAGACCTGTGAATATTATGTGGCTTAACCTAGCCCTCGTGAGGTCGGTTAGACCTGTGAACCTGTGAAAGCAGGCACTGTGTTACTGTGTTTACAGTTTTTTTAAACCTTACAGTGAGGGCTGTGTGTTTTTTGAGTGCGTGGACTGCGGGAGAAGAGTTGTAGGTCTGAAACTTCTGATAGCAGCCTCTGTTATGGCCTCTGAGGACTGCAACTTCTAGAACCTCTTTCACTCCAGGAGGAATGAACAGTAGTCATGACTCTATGAGTTTTCCAACAATTATTACTCCCTTAGATGGTAGAAATTATATGACATGATCTAAGGAGATGCAGCTGTACATCACAGCCCGAGGTAAGGCGGGGTATATCAATGGAAAAGTGAAGGAGCCTAGGGCTGGTACTGCTGAATATGATAAGTGGGACTAGGAGAACTGTGTGATTATGTCATGGCTTTTGATTACTATGCTACCATCGGTTAAGCAGAATTTTATGTGGGCTGAGACAGCCAAGGAAATATGGGAACAAGCAAGGTCAACTTACTCCAAGCAGAGACACTATGCTAGAATCTATCAATTGCAAGTTGAGTCTGCAACATGTAAACAAGGGGAAAGAAGCTTATCCACCTACCATTCTGCCCTCACATCTATTTGGAAAGAGTTGGATTACTATCAAAACATTGATTGGGAGAGTGAGAAGGATGCCAAAGCTTACAAACAGTTAGTTTCACAGCAGCGAGTGTTTGCTTTTTTGTTGGGGCTTAATCCCATGTATAAACCCATTCGAGTTCAGGTTTTGGGCAGCAAGGATCTTCCATTTGTCCAATAGGTGTATGCACTAGTTCAATCTGAGGAAAGTAGAAAATCTGCCATGAATCCCCTTGAGGGGGAGACCATTGCTTTAGCCGTAAGAGGTAATACCAATTCAGCAAGAAAGGGAGATGGTCAGAAAAGGGTTGATGATAAAGATAAATTATGGTGCACTCATTGTTAGAAATCCCAACACACACGGGAGACATGTTGGGAATTGCATGGAAAGCCAAAGTGGGCACAAGACCCAAGTAAAAAATCAGCACAAGAACAAAAAAGAAACCAAATCAGAAGTTCACCTCGGCTAACTTGGCCTCTCATGAGCCACAGAGTGGATGTACTGTTGTGAACTCCCAGGATTGCCCCCCTAGTTCTGATCTCAAGGATAATATTATCAATGCCTTTTGTGACCATTTGGAGAAATATGGTAGGGCTCTCACACAAGATGATTTTGGACCAACTCCTTCAACCTCTTTTGCTTCTTCCTTAGGTAACTTAGCTTTTGCATTCCATGTGTCTACTGATACCTCCGAATCTCCATGGATTATTGATTATGGTGCTTCCAATCACATGACTGGTAAGTCAACCTTTTTCTAATCATACACCCTTCTTTCTGGCAAAGATAAAGTGAAGTTAGTTGATGGATCCTTCTCCTCCATTGCTAGTTGAGGATCTATATCTTTTTCCATTTGGCCTACCTCTATCAAATGTTTTACATGTTCCAAAGTTGCCTATTAATTTGTTATCTATTAGCAGCATTACACACTCTTTGAACTGCTCAATAACCTTTTTTCCTCAATCCTGTGTCTTTCAGGATTTGGCCTCTAGGAGGACGATTGGTAAAGGGAACATGGTGAATGGTCTCTATGTGCTGGAGAATAAAGTTGGTCTTGTAGCCTCTGAGTCTTTGAGTCAGTCAAATAAGAGTCAAGTTACTTTGTGACACAATCATTTGAGTCATATGTCCTTTGAGTCTTTGAAGTACTTGTTTCCAAAATTGTTTAAGTCAGTGTCAGTAAATAATTTTCAGTATCAAGTGTGTCAGCTAAGCAAGCATTGTAGAACTTCATTTTCTTTACGTAATAAAAGATCAGAAGTTCCTTTTTCCATTATATATTCTGATGTTTGGGGACCTGTAAATATTTCAACGAAAAAATGACTACAAATATTTCATATCTTTCATTGATGACTTCTCTCGATATACGTGGGTTTACCCTATGCACTCTCGAGAAGAAGTCCCTAAACTTGTGAAAGCTTTTCAACATATAGTATACACACATTTTCAAACAGAGATTCAAATTTTCCAATCAAACAATGCTAAAGAATATTTTCATGGTGACCTCACAGATTTTTTTGAAACTTGTGGCTCTCTTCATCGTAGCTCTTGTGCCAGAACCCCTCAACAGAATGGGTTGCAGAGAGAAAAAATCGTCATCTTCTAGAGGTTGCTTGGGGTAGCTGATACACATGAATGTTCCCAAAAGGTTCTGGGTGGATGATGTTATGACTGCGGTTTATGTTATCAACCAGATGCCATCTCGTTTCTTGGAGTACATGTCCCCTCATCAATTCATCTTCCCTACAGCTCTATTGTTTCCTATACCTATGTGTGTCTTAGGGTGTAAGTGTTTTGTCCATGATTTGTCTCCTACCCGTGGTAAGTTGGATCCCAAAGCCATCGTTTGTGTTTTCCTTGGCTACCCTCTCTCCCAAAAGGGCTATCGTTGCTTTGATCCTATTTCCAAAAAGTACTTTGTATCCATGGATGTCTAGTGTCTCCTTCTTTAAAGATGTTCCTTTCTTTTCTGCTTCTCCTCAGGGGGAGAGTTCAAGTGAGGAGAAACAAAAACAGGTTTTGTTGCCTTCTCCTCCTAACCCTCCTCCATTTCGGGTCTTTCGTAGACAGCAGTACAAAAGCCAAGGCCGGGGTCAACAAAGTTCAATAGACACAGAGCATCCTGAAGCTGTGCAACCTAGCCATTGAACTCTCAAGGCTTGAATCCATCACCACATCCAGGTACTATTATTCTAGTTGATATTCCTAAACCCATTGATATTGACTCTTCCAAGTGTGATATGGATCTTCCTATTGCTAAGAGGAAGGGTGTCAGATCATGCACTACACACCACCCAATGGTTCATTCCTCATCCTATGAGAATGTTTCACCCTCTTTCTGTGCTTTCCTCTCTGCTATTGACAATGTTCCCCTTCCTAAGAGTGTTGCAAAAGCTTTACTTGTTCTTGAGTGGGCAGATGCAATGAAGGAGGAGATCAATGCCCTTCACAAAAATGGCACATGGGAGTTAGTAGATCTGCCTGAGGGAAAGGGACGTGGGGTGCAAATGGGTATTCTCTGTGAAACATAAGGCGGATGGCACAGTGGAGAAGTACAAGGCCCGGGCAGTTGTAAAAGGTTTTTTACAGATGTATGGAGTTGGTTTAATAGGTTCTACAAGGCAGTCCAACAGATGGGCTTTAAGCAGTGCTAGTCTGATTACACACTCTTTGTGAAGAGAGAACAAGGAAGAATGGCAACCTTGATTGTTTATGTCGATGATATTATTATCATTGGTGATTGGGACTCAGAGATGCAGAGATTGAAGAGATTCTTAGCCACTCAATTTGAAGTGAAGGATCTGGGGTCTTTACATTATTTCTTGGGATTGAAGTTGCCCGTTCTAATCAGGTATCTTCATCTCCTAGAGGAAATATATCCAGGATCTCTTGAAAGATACGGGGAAGCTTAGAGCAAAACCTATTGACACACCTATAGATGTAAACCACAGGTTGGGGACTGCAATGATGAGCCATAGCAGACACAAAGCAATCTCAAAGATTAGTGGGCAGACTTCTCTATCTATCTATGACAAGACTTGACATTGCATATGCAGTGGGAGTTCTTAGCCAGTTTATGCATGCTCCCAAGGCCACACACTTAGAGGCAGCAAACAGAGTTCTTAGATACCTGAAGAAATTCTCTGGGACAAGACTCCTATTGAAAAACATGAGCATATGAGAATTGACGTTTACGCCGATGCAAATTGGGTAGGTTTTGTGGACGATAGAAAATCCACTAATGGCTATTGTGCATTTGTTGGGGGAAATCTTGTTACTTGGATGAATAAGAAACATAGTGTGGTGGCCAGATCTAGTGCAGAAGCTGAATACAGGGCCATGTCTCATGGTGTGGCAGAACTACTATGGATAAAGAGTCTCTTGGGTGAATTGAGCTTTCCTCTCAGTGATCCTATGTCACTTTATAGTGACAATAAGGCTGCTATCAGCATTGCAGCCAATCCTGTTCTCCATGATAGAACCAAACACATAGAGGTTGACAAACACTTCATCAGGGAAAAATTGGAAAAAGGAGAAGCATGCACTCCCTACATCAGCTCTGAGGAACAACTTGCAAGCATCCTTACCAAAGGATTAAACTCCTTGGGACACTATAATCTTTGTGACAAGTTGGGGATGATTGATATCTACGCCCCAACTTGAGGGGGAGTGATGTAATCTTGGTTATGTGCCACAAGGGCACTTTTGTCTTTTTATCTTTCTTTATTATTGTATGGTCGCCCTAATGTATAAATAGAAGGACTGGCACTGCCAGCCAAGTTTTTTTCTTTGGACTCCAATCTTCTCTTCTCTCTTCTTCTCTTCTTCTCTTCTCCCTTCCTCTTCTCCTTCCTTCACCGTTCTTTTCTGATCAAAATCAGTTACCTATGGGTTTTAGTTTTATAGCAGTTAGAAGTTGTTGTGTATCAGTTTCATAATTGAAATTGGATTCTTCAAAGGGAGACCCATTCTCTCACATTTAGTCTGTAAACAGAATCATTATAATTGGAAATCTAGAGATGATTTAATGGAATAATATTTTATTTTGAAGTTTCCTGGGGCTAATGGCATGATCTTTTTCTTTTCTCTCTTTTCTTTTAAAAGAGCATTATTTCTTTTCTCTCTTTTCTATTTCAGATCTGAATCTCTTTTTTTTTTTTTTGATAATCGAAGATCTGAATCTCTTCTTCTCATAATTCAAATCCCTAATTTTCCCTTTCTTCAACCACCATATTAATCCCCATAGCATGTTCTCCTCCAATCCTACATCACCTATTCAAACTTCAGAATGGAATTTTGTTTGATTGATAAGAGGCCTCTAAGTCCTCAATTTTTTAATTTAAAAATGGTCCATAAAGATAGCTTAGCACAGCCTTCTATGCCAAAATTCTTTCTAGAACAAGGAGAGGAACTTGGAAACTCTTTCATTTGTAACTAACTACGGTCTGACTTGAATTGATGAACTGGTGCCTGGGCCCTCTGTCATAGACAATGTTGTAGCATGGGAAATGATTCACCAGGGAAGGAGGCTTGCCCTTCTGGGCTTAGGCTGCTGCCATTGGCCTAACACCATCTCCCATGTCTGATGTCTCAGTAATTACATTTTAGAGTTCTCTTAATTTTTCAAAACTAACTTTTACCCTCTCATTAAATAGCACGTTGAACTCTTATATTCCCAAGCCACTATTCCAATTGTTGCCTGTACTTCCAAAATACAACTATCCCAGATTCCCAGCCTATGGCTCACCACTACAGAACCCGATCTAGAGAAGGAAGGTATATAAGCTAGCTCCAGTCCTGCCTTTATGATCTTTCCATCTTGGATTTCTCCTGAGTTTGGCATCCCACCCTTTTATAGTGCATAACTTTAATTAGATAAATAAGTTTCAAGAAATATATGAAGTATGACTAGATTAATTGCATAGATAATAGGTTATGAGGCTCTCCATGTGCCTATCACAAATAGGGTTTACCGTTTAACTGGTGCATGTGTGTGCAGTGAGTTTTGATCTGAAACAATCCCACAGAAGTAGGTTTCTTTAAAAAAGCAAAACAAAAGCTACCGACAATGGGTTTCATCTACAAATTTTAGCTAATTAAAAACAAAAATGGAGAAAGCTTGCCTGCATTTCAGGTGGTAAAGAGCCATGAAGTGGAAGGATTATAGCATCCATACAAGACCCTTCATCCAGGCCTTGCACTCTCTCCTCCAACTTTCTTACCAACTTCTCTATATCATCCTGTAAGGGTCCCCATGAATTTTGTCAGGAAAATGTTGCTAAAAGTTTCTCAAGTACCAAAATGCAAAATTCCTGAGTACTTAATAGGTACATTCATAAAGAAAACTAAAATTTCTCACCTGTCCTGTCATGAATATTAAGACATCTCCTTCTGGTTCCCTAACATGTATATCTATGAAGAAACGAATGGTTCAGTGGATAAACCTCACAAATTAGTCTCTACAACCAAAAAAGAACATATTTCAAGGTAATAGAAGAGAGACCCTAAGATCTAGCACTGTAAACAATTCCAAGTGAAAACGAAAACTTAAAAAGAATGCCTTCCCTTCTTGTCCACTAGAATGACAGGAGTTCTATATGATTCCCAGAAGTGCAGAATCTCAAAGCACAAAGCGTGCATATGGAAGAATAATTCCATACAACTAGCAGTTTCAGAAAGAATGAGAATATATGCAATCCACTTCAATGAAGAACCTAGCCTTTATATTTTGCATTGCGCTCAAACTTAGAGTAGAGATTTTGCAATTAAAGAAAACTAGCATTTCTGCTTTAACATTAAAACAGCCAGTTAATTTCTATCATGGTATTACTGCATGAAATAACAAACTTGTTACCCAACTTTGAAGATCTACCAGATACCCAGAAGTACCAGAAGTAGAAATGACAGTTCAGTTTCTTCCTAGGATCTTTGAAAAATACAAAATTTACACTTCTTCAGAGGTTTTGGTTACTTGGCCTGAGAACATGTTTCTTGGATGAACTCATCAAACCTTCACCTTGGGGGAGAAGTGGACTCCCACCCATAAGTTGAGCTCACATCCTCTGGACTCCCACCCAGAAGTGGACTCCATGTTTCCTGAAATTTTATTTCAAAACACAAAACTCTTTATCTTTGCAAAATTTCAAGAAATATGGCAAAAAATATTGGATGGTCCAGAAACTTCTGGACCACAGGTCCAGAGGGTGTTAATTCCATAAGTTTCTTTGAAACTTGTTTCTTCTCCTCATCAGCAAGGAAAGATTTTATAGAGATGTTTCCCGGCAATGATTCTATGGATGGTTTAGGTGGAAAGCAATGCAAGAATTGTCAGGAATTTGGTGCACAGCCAGAGAGATTGAATGACATCATTACAGTGAAGTGGCTCATTGGATGCATACAATGACAAGTTCAGAGAGTTCTTTGTTGAAGACATTCTTGGAGGCTGGTATTTTGTTTCTATAGCTAACTCTAGAAGAAAAACCATCCATAATTCAGAGCTGGTTTCCACCTTCCTTGGGTGCAGCAAAGCTAAATTTGATGCCTGCTCTCTAGGAAATTCAGGGCAATCAGGAAAACCCTTCTAGTATATTCTGATCCAATTGGATACAAGGCAGTATAAGATAGGAAGGTTGATGGTGCACTAAGAATCAAAACAATTTTACAACCTAGCAAAAATATCTCAATTTCTATCAGATCAGACCAGCTTCCTGTGGAACCTCTCAACCACCAAACCCCATAAAGACATCAATCCAGCTCTGTCAGAGAATAATGCAATACAGCAAAATGAAGAAAATCAAGCTTTTCCCGGTTTCTCTTTCTCCAGTGGCAGTTTCGTAACTCTAGGATTTTTTCAATTATGGGTCCCTTTTTGAGTAATTATATTATTTACAACTATCGCAGGAATAGCTTTAATGGTCTAAATAGTCAAAAACAGTCAGAAGAATCCTATAGGTGGGTTCTTAGGGTTTTTTAAAGGGTTGTGATCATATCACTTTTCTTGCAGCTCTAAGTTTTGATCCATCAAAACTTATTCGACTGAAATAATTTAATTCTATCATTATGATATGTCAGTAACCAGTCCAAAATTACCAAGATATTGCGAACCTAAGTTGATTTTGAAAGTTGCATCCATTTTATTTGTAATGTTTTAATTGGAAACAGCATTGTATCCTTAAGGGTCAAGTAGTTAGATGCTTAGGAATCATTTAATTATTTAGTTTTATATCAATAATCTTTTAGTAGTTTAGTTGGTTTATTTTATTTTAGAAGTAAAGAGCTGACCCCATAGATTTAAATCTATAAATAGGCACCCTCTTTTTGTTATGGAATTTAGAATTGAAATGTGGAATTGAATTAACTTTTGAGTCTATAAGTACCTTCTAATTTATCAGTCTCTTTCTGTCCTTCCCTCTCTTCTTCTCTTCTCTTTCTTTCATCTCCTTTTTGCTGAAATTACTCTATACTGCATATCAGTATGGTATTGCTTCTCCTTTCTCTCTGAAGTATCATTTCTAGACACTGTAATTTCTACGCAGAAATTTTACAATAAAATTAGTTTATTACATCATTTTCTATAAGTAACTCAGATCAGAAAATTTTATCAACTTTGCCTTCTTGATTCTCCATCTCAGATCCGAACCTCAAAAGTCTGAATTCACCAGATCCTATACCCGTGTGCCTTCAAGGGAGAATCACAGGTAAATAGTGGAGAACTTTTTGCTTTACCATCAAAGGCCCCTCCAAGCTCCATGTTGCAGACCTGAATAAGCAAAGCATCTGAGGGTATAGGACCATCTTAACAAAGCAAGACCTGGCCTAACACTGAATTCTAGAAAATCAAATGGGCAGTTGTAATAATCACAAGACAGCAGCCTCACTGGTAAGGTGTATTTACTTCCATTTCTGTTATGTATGTGTTTCTCTTTCTCTTCCACTATATTGGACAGATTGACAGTGAAGCTATTTTAATTGAAGCTCCTTAAAATGATCATTATTTTAATATTCAACAAATAACATGTATATCATCTTTAATGCATTGGAATACCAGGAACAATCTAATATTGAACACAAGGAACAAAACCACAAAAATAGAGATTAAAAGCTCACAAAACTATGCAGGTTTCTAAGAGATAGGCACAACTAAGCAGTATCATACAAAATCACACAATAATTACCAATCTATCTATACAAGGGTGAAAAAAGTCATGTCATAAACTGCTAATGCAAGGTATGGATCCAAGTTATTGTCATACCAAGAGCAGTTTTTAGAGAAGACTCAAGATAGCTTGTAGGACGCTCACTGCAGTATAGGATTTCCACAGGGAACAACTTTCCAGGGACAGTCAGTATTGGACAATTGGAGAAGAATCTTGAAACTTTCTCACCATCCAGAGTTGCCGAAGTGATCAAAACCTTCAGATTAGAGAGACGCATCTTAACCAAGCGCTTCATCAATCCCAGCAATATATCACTGCATATAAATGCATTTAAATATCTAGCTCACTTTAAATACACAGTAGCACAAAATGAAAAACTCAATATAATACTAAACAAATTTAGCATAGCATTTGAACCTCATACATGGGGCTGTGAGGCAGATTGCTCAACTTGAAGAATTTCAATTAAACTGGGCTCAGATTAGGGTTCAGACCCAATAAAAATTTAACAAATTCCCAACCCAACCAGCAGTCTAGCACCCTTACATACATGCAAAATATAAATGCATAAACAGATCTAGAAACAAATCTCATATCACTTCTACCTTCATACCTGACATGGGTGACAAGCATTTAGGCATCCAACATATTAAACCTCTGGAACTTATGGCATAACAACTTGGCCATACATAACTTATGGCATAACAACTTGGCCATACATAAACATTAAATGACATAACCAATATAAAATTATAGTAAAAATAATAAACAAAAAAATTGGCAAATCAAAGTATTGCTGCCTTATTGGATTTTTTCATTCTCATGCCACTGTTAGGTCCTAACACTTATGACTTCATCCTCAGTATGTTAAAAGAAATGCCAAGTGCAAAGTATTGACACAGTGTCTTGAGTATTGGGGTGTTGAATTTATTAGGTTGAGGTCCTGATTATAACCACATCAATAATTCAGCATTGCATGGAATGTTCTATATGCTCTCCAAAGTAATGCATGAATCTGGTTTAAAAAAGAGTTACATCTCAGAAGCAAATACAATACAACTCTTCCCCTAAATGTTTAGGGTATCAAAGATGAAAATGAAGAAGCAACAGGGACTCCACTGCATTCCATCAGCAGGAAACATTAAAGAAATATAGAGAATGAAACTTACGTGTTTAGACTCCTCTCGTGAGCTTCATCCAAAATAATTACTGAATACTGATTTAGCTCTGGGCCAGAAAGGCTCTCACGAAGGAGAACACCATCAGTAAGATATCTGGGATTCCACAAGTTTAAATCCAAGTTGAAGTTACAATGCATAAGATGCCAATATTTTAACAACTAAAAAGGCAAAAAAAAAGGAAAGAATATAATATTAAGTTTTGCAAATAAGAATCTATGGCATTACTTGATACATGTTTTCTCTGATGTCCTGTCTTCAAATCGAATGGCATAGCCAACTTCCTCACCAAGCTGAACGCCAAGTTCATGTGCAACACGCCTGTGCACCAATGAGAAAAGAAGTCAAATGGTTTAATTTAAAAAATCTGCAGTGTAACATGATATTTACGTTCACCACTCCCACGGGTGAATAACTGAATATTGTAATTGACAAGCAAACCAAATTTATTATTATAATGAGTGGAAAAGGCCAAAAATGGAAATCAAATAGAGAAATTATTTTGAGATGAGGAAACCAAAACTGTCCTCATTGTATCTACTATCTACAGACTTGAACAGATATCCTCCTTCAGCTTCTTCGGTTGACTTAGAAGAAGAAAATGGCATAGGAGTAGCAAATCAGCTTTACTAGTTAATGATCAACTAAAGCAGGATGTTAATTGAAAAATTTTATCGTTTTGAATTCAATAACAGGAGAACATAAATTACAAGAGTAAGTAGCAAAGAAGCTAAAGAAAGCTAATTCCATCTGGAAGTCCATGAGTGAAGCTCCGTTGCACTTATTGATTTTTACACTCATAAACTAACATAAAAAAGATTCCAAATGTTAGACACATAAACTCCAATTGTACCTGATATCCAACTCGAAAACCTAGTTCTGGCTATTCCAACGTTTCAATTCGAAACTATTTAGAGGAGTAAAGGATCTGTCATAGCAGGAAGGGAAAAAAAAGAAAGCAAAAGAGAAAGGAGTTAGACGAAATTACCTCGCAACCGAGACTGCGGCAACTCGGCGAGGCTGAGTGACAGCAATGATTCCAGATTTGGTGTACCCATTTCTGTGCAATATTTGCGAGAGCTGCGTGCTCTTCCCTGAACCAGTCTCTCCGATTATAACAACGACAGGGTTTTGCTTCACCGTTTCAATGATCTTCTCTTCAAACTGAAGAATTGGAAGAACCGCCATCGTATATCCCAAAGGAGAGATGGAACTTGCAGCGTAGCTAAATAACCAAGTAAGAATTAAAAGAATATCTGATGCTTCTTCCCTCGCTCAACTGCGGACTGTTGCGGAACCAACTATAAAATTGCGAGATGCAACTGAGAAACAGAGAAAGAGTATTTTGTGTTTATTACAGAGTCCCGTATATATAGATACATAAATCGACTTGAGACAAGTGTTCTAACTAATGCAACCTGTCAGTCCAATTAGACAGCTGGACTAACAGAATTTGTTCCAACGGATTTACACATGCTGCTATACGCTCCCTCAAGTTGGAGCATGAACTTGGGTGATGCCCAACTTAGGAACTAAAGCTTGAAACTGGTCACGCCCCAAGACCATCAATATCTGCTGGTAACTTGTAGGAGATGTGTGCATAGGCTCTAGATGATAGAGGCCCAAATCATGAAAGAGACGTTTCAGCCATAATAATTTGCCAGTGGTTGCAGCCATACAAAGGAACAAAATACAGTCGATTGCTTCTTTGTCTTCCAAGAAAGAGGAGAAGAGCCAAGGGTGGTGAAGTATCCTGTGGTGGATCGACAAGTAGTCGAGCAGCCAGTATGATAATATCATTTTGTGAAGGCAAAAAAAGGCCAGGATTTGGGGAATATTTCAAATAACGAAGTATATGCATTGCAGCTTCCAGATAGTGTTGGCGTGGAGCAGCCATGATGTACTTTATGAGTTTATTGTAAATGAATAAAAGTGCATATTTGATTCATGTTCTCTTGGTATGTTTCTGTGTAATACCCTTAAACTGGACACTTATTGAGGTTCGTGTTAGTTTAGAATGTTCACA